TGGCACTCCACTATTATCAGGAGCAAAAGCTACAGGGGGAAAAAAATTGCTTCAGAAAGTCTGATTCCAAGCTTCCCGTGTATTTGGGTGTTTCCCAGAGATGGTAAACTCAGAAATTGCTGTGCACTCATCATTTATTATTGCAAAATTCATTAAGCTGCCACCCTATTATTATCCTATCTTGTCAAGATGATACATTACAGACTTCATTGCAAAACTCTTAACAAGCAGGAGAAAGTACACCTCTCTCTCCCCACCGCAGCACAGGAAAGCCTCTGGGTATTTTGCTTTTGCCTTAATATTTTTTTGCATAAAGCTCTGGGTCTTTACAGAACTTCTGTCTGTCTGGCAGCTCCCTTTTCTCCCTGTTTGATTATGTGGAGAGAGAGTTCCCTCCTTTGGGCTCTATGAGGCATCATGAGTTGCTGTTAAAGAAAAGCCATCGTCCCTCTTCTTTTTGACAGCTAGTCTCAGACATTGTGGAAAGATGACAATATTAGCCTGAATTCTGACAGATAGTCCATGTGTGGTGGGAAACCTCTGCCAAAGTGACATCAAAGATCTATGTTTCATATTTATTATTTAGCTTTGTGTATTCAGTAGGCCAGGCGTGTCCATGCCTGCCGAGACGTGTGAATTTGGCTTGGCCCTGCATGTGCGTTCCTGGCCTCATCTCTGGGTTCTTCGATAAACAGAGACCCTGCCTCTTCCATGTGGTGGGGTTGTCACTAGAGTGAGCGGGAGAGTCACTTGGTAAATATGGAAAATGAAGTAGCTTAGCTCCCGGATTTCCATGGCAACCCCCAGAACAAGTACAATATCACCAAAATTATTCTGTGGCTTTCTTTTTTTAGTTGCAGTGATTTGGTTGCATGCTCATGTTTTTCCGCTCCTGATTTGTACAAAAAACACTGCCCACTGTTACCAAGACTTGGATTTCAAGGACATTAGTGTTCCCTGTCTGAAGTACCTGAAAAATTCAGTCACACAAAACTGCCTCTTTTGTGCTAGCCGAACACATTTTGATTGTTTATCGTTGCCTTATATTTATTATTTACCTTATAACCATACATGGAGCTTTAGTAGACGCCATGCATGGACAAGGCACTAGGAATGTATGAGTTGATGCTGACCTCGCAGGTCACTGTAATGGATGCTTAATGTATTCTGTGTGGGCAGACATGACCCAGCCCTTGAGGGTCACGTCCACATCCAGTTTGTGCCTCCTTGTAGAACATATGTTCGTGAAAGCATCCAATGCATTACTCATACATGTTTACAATTGTTCAGGAATTGATTTTATCATTTTCTTGTTTCTGGGCTCTTGTTTTCTGTGACTAATATAAAGAGAGAGTCTTGTTGACAAACATGCTTGAGGAAGGCAAGCATTTTCACTGACTTCCACCAGTTTAGGAATACTCAGTTGTGGGCATTCTTCTCTTTTGGTCATTTAAATGGTTCTCTATGATCTTGTTGATTTGACTAATAACTGGTTGTTGTTCTTTTTCAGTCCACTACTCTATAATTTTTTTTCTTCAGCAGTGTAATTGCCATCAGTCCTTCTTATACCTTCTGATCAGAATGTCAGAACTGGTTTGAATCATCAGTGGCTCAAAGAAGGCCAGCTCTCTCAAATTTGAATGATTTTGTTAATTTTATTTTTTTTTTTAAAAAGTCACTTAGGCTGCCTGTTCTCATTATGTTTTTCTGTCAGGAGTAAGGTCTCATTTGCCCACTTGACAAAATCCCTCCTGTTTTGAGTGACATTACTGAATCATTTTCTCTTTATTTCTTAATTCATTCCAAATGCTGTAGAATTGATCTCTATAGTCTGCCACAACCGCTAAAACATTTGTTTTTCTGTTGATTTTATTCTTTTCCCCTTCTCTGGAATAATTCTCACCTACCTGTTCATTCTTAGTAAGGATTGTTAGCATTTCAGCTTAGAAGTCTATCCAGCTAGAAGTTCTCAGTCTCATTATCTGAGGTCTTATGGCAAATAAAACTGTAATGGTCTTGTAGTCAGTGAGTGCCATGTTTCTAGTTTTCCTTGTCATATGGCCCATCAAGGGAGACCAGTAAATAGTCTGCCTTTTAGGACACATATTTGGCTATCTTGGCCGCAAAACTAAAATCTCGTGATTAATTGTTTTTGCTCTTCTTGCACAATCAACCCCTTTCCCTTTCCCTGACCTTTTGCTTGTGTTGTTTTGTTTTGTTATAGGTTGTGCGATATGTGAAAGGTTCTTGATATCTAAATATGATTCAAAACAGAACCTCAAAAAGAATTTACTTCTTAAAAAAGGAATTCTAATGTCTACCAGTAAATGAAATACTAGAAACCTTAAGCTCAATTTGAGTGTAGACACCTGTTTTATTCTATTGATTTTTCTAGTCCAGGCGGGGCAAGTTCTCATTTTCTACCCCGTCCTTATTCTTTTGTAGGTTTATTTCCAACAAATATCATGTTCCATATGCTATAGCCTTCCCTGTTTGTTAGCTCATGGAGAATACCAGTCTATAAAATTATAATAGTAGTTATATTCTTAAAATTTTTACCTAAGTCTGGTTTTTAGAATTAAATCTTTTTATGAGCATAGGATTCTGATGAAATATTTTATAAAGCAAAGCATCTTTATACAATTTTTTCAGTTGTGATTTCAAAGTTTTATCTGTCACGTATCCAATCTTAAGTTGCTCATAGTCTACTGAGGAAGGTAAACATATGAATAAATACATATTCAAGTTAATAAATACACTAGTTTGTATCTGAATAAAATACCAAGGAATTAGTCTAGGGGTCTGTTAACTGTCTGGGAACCCTGTTTGGTACTCAGTAGGTGCTCAATAAATATTCATTGAATAAATGAAGTTGAAGAAAGTTTCATCTCAGATATTCTCTTTTTTTAATGGCTAGTAAGGCAGAGAAAATAAGTCCTGATAATATTTTAGAAAAACTAATAATACTTTTAGCAAGGTGTTGTTTTTAATTTATAGACGCATAACCCTCTTATGGACAACTAAATGTAATCACAAGAGAAGTATGAGCTACTCTTCTGTTTCTCCATTCAGGGAATTATGTCATGCAAACTTAGCCTCGAACTGGAGTTAATAAAACGATTCGTCTCTCCTCCTGTATAAAGTTGAGAAGTGTCATCTTTGTTTCCTTTTTTTATATGGTGGTCTTGGGCTCCTCATAGTCTTGCAGGAATCTTAATAGGAGTATTTTGTGCAAAGGAAAATATTACTTATACTGATTCATACTGATAAGTGGCATAGCTATTCCCTCAATGATCCCTTAGTTATGTAATTTTAGAGTTGTTTTTCTTCCCAGTAGCAAGTTCCCATTTGCAGGCCCTATTAGTCTGCCTACATCTTGGCTCAATGTCACTCTTTTGGTTTCTCTTTCTTTGTTGTTGTTTCTGTTTGGAATTTAAGCTCTTGAAATATGAATAGTTCTAAATCTCAGGAATCAATGTAATAATCTCCTTTTTTCAAAATCTACTTAGAGTTCAGGAATCTCTCAATAGTCTCATGGGGGTTTTACCTCTTCTACAAGGCTTTAAATATGGCTTTGAAAATTTGCCAAGATATTAGAAGTTATTGGTGTGTGTGTATGTGTGCACATGTGCGTGTGTTTAATGCGAAAATTACTCTAACATCCTTTCGAAAGCATTATATATTTTTACACACGACTAGTGCAAAGGGAAGAATATTTTTTATCATGACATCGCTCTTTTTATTGCCTAAAGATACCAGAGTTCAAATGTTAACCTCTAAACTACCATGTCAATGAGCCTAGTCTGTCTTTTTAGGGATATGGTATACCCCTGGCTCATTTCAAAAAGGTCCAGCGAGGATTATTAACCCAGTTATGATATTTTTTGATATGTGAATTGATTGCTCAAAATGTTAGTTGATTTCGATATGGTGTATCTGTAATGAATGTGGGACAAGAAGGACATTCTAAGTCTTTAATATTTTGCTACAGCAGTGGTGCCTGTGCCATTTAGCTAAATCATCCCAAAAATGTTTTCTTCAGTGGATGGTTCCAAGTTTTTAAAGATGGGAAGAAACAGAAAGTTCTTTTCTTTGAGCAATGTTCTAAAGTTTGCAAAACGCATTCTTGCATACGATCCCACTCGTCCTCATGACAGCTCCTGGAGCTGTGCAGGACAGTTCTCATTCTCCCTGTTGTATAGATGCTTTAGCCAAGAAACAGAGAGTGTGAGTGAAAATTGCCTGAGGCCACACAGCCTGTCAGGGATGTAGTCTTGAAGCAAATTCAGGTTTTCTCCCTCCTGGCTTGGCAATATCTCCAAGTATTAACGTGACCGCTTGGACTACGGACTTGGTTTTTTATATGCAAACTACCCTTTAGCCCTTACAGATCTCTTTATCAAAGAACTAACTTGAATCTAAACATCAAATACATAGAGCTAAAGCAGCCCAGAAGGGTTCGTCTGGAGAGTGGTCAGGAATTTAAACTGCAGAGTCATGAAGAAGTGGGTGGCCAAATAGAAGATATTTTATGGTGAAGTGCTTCTGGAGATAGAATGTGGTCTGGGCAATTAAGACAACATCGAGGGCAGGAGTTTTAGAATAAAAGGTAAATTGTCACAGTAACCAAGAGGATCTGGCTGAATGCAGGGGGCTGAAAGGCTGCTCTCTGTTCAGACCATCTTCCAATCAAAAGAAGACACAATTTATGGTGCAGTGGTAGGGCCACTTTTAGGGAAAAGGCTGGTTGTGTTAAAGGACAGGTATTTCTTCTCAAGTGGAAAAGGGGGTTTTGCTCTAAAGTTTCAAATCACCTGTTCCCCTTGGACTCTTCCTTTCCCACTTGTAATTCTTATGCTTTACTATGTCCTTTGTTTAGCTTAGTTAGGACCAGAGACCTCAATCCAGTCTCATTATTTATCAATTTTTGTATGTGTAAGAATAGACTATTCGTATGGAATGATATTAATATGGGGCTTGTGGCCTTTTTTCTCCCCCAGAGGAACAAAGAAACAGCATCATCAACTCCAGTTTGGAATCTGTCATCTCATCTAATGCAAACAGCATCCTTAATTCCAGCAGCAGTTTACAGCCCAACATGAACTCCAGTGACCCAGACCTGGATGTGCTCAAACCCACCCGGCCCAACTCACTGTAAGTATGATGTCCACATGTCTGTCGTAGTAGGCCCAGAATTTGCTCTCTGGCCCCATATGACTTGGAGCATTGTCCTATGAACATGATTTAAACCTTCTCCCTGAACTTGGAGCTTGGCTGGTTGGTTGTGGATTAACCATTATTTGTAACATACTGCTTCTTGGCCTTGGTGATCTTTGATTTACCATCCTGCTGAGATGACTTTGGTGATGGCAATTGCCTGTGCTGGCTGCTGGGCATGAAAAGCAATTTCATGTAGTTTTTTTTGTTTTGTTTTGTTTTTAACATCCAGGCACTGTAGTAGCTCAGTAGATCAGTAGCCAAGTCTGTTTCACTCATTCATGTTGTCTCGGTTTCCCTTCTCCTTGACTATGTTGAGAATGTTCGGTGCTACCTCTGTGTCCACTTCCAGAAAGAAGGGCCCCCCAGTCCCCCTCTGAGTCTTAAGATCCTCAAACCTTAGCATGACTATGATCACATACCAGAGATTATAAGAGAGGAACATTTGCTGTTTCATTCTCGGATATTGAGCCACCCATAGCCGAGACAGGCAGTTTTAGGGCTGCTTGTCCAGTCCTCCACGGGAATTAGATCTCCTCTGTTAAGGCCAGAAGGTTCTCCCTTGTGGTTTCATCTCACATTGCTTAGCATGCTTCCTCAGGCCACCCCATAAATCGTGTCAACTACAGCCTTTGCAGAAAGAATGTGAGGCCATGACCAGAACAGCTGGACTCTAAGGCTACGGTTGTATGAGACTCAGGAAAAACAGAGTTGACTTTGCCTGTCTCTAGTGAAAGTAGCTCATGGTTCAGCCACAGATTGCTTTCAGGGCAATTGTTTCACTGGATAAGACACAAGGATGTCAGAACCATTTCTTCCCCCTCTCCATGTGTGGTTGCATGATCACACTTTGCCATTATCTCTTTAAGATATTTACAGATCTGTAAAATGGGTCCAACAGTTTTTGCCTTTGAAGAGACTAAGGGATATTAAGATTTGAGAGGAAAAATGACTCTGAAATGGACTTGAGGTACTTACACTGGCAACGCAACAGCGTTAAGATGAAACCATATTCTTCCCCCTCTCCATGTGTGGTTGCATGATCACACTTTGCCATTATCTCTTTAAGATATTTACAGATCTGTAAAATGGGTCCAACAGTTTTTGCCTTTGAAGAGACTAAGGGATATTAAGATTTGAGAGGAAAAATGACTCTGAAATGGACTTGAGGTACTTACACTGACAACGCCACAGCGTTAAGATGAAACCATACATTGAAAAAATCAGGTCTCTTTTCATTTGTTGGCTTTAAATCCTACCTTGATATTCAGGAAGTTTAATGACTTTCATGTTACTTGGTAAATAATGTGTTTTCTTAACAAGAAGTGGACCAAAATCATTTAACTTGTTCAGCTTATGGGCAGTGAGTTTCTCTAGTTCCCCGTGGCCAGACTTGCCTGCGGAGCCTCCTTCCCTCACTGCATTGCTTTCTCAGGGGCTCCTAAATCCACCTACCTAGACATTAAGGAGATTATAGTACCTTTTTCCCCCCATTTTGTTTAAACCTTTTTTGTCCTACCAATTGCTGAAGTTATTTGTTGCTCAACATGAGCAAGGTTGAATTTCTAGCCCAGGTTGTTTAATTTAACATCCCCTGATTTTAATCGTAGTATCAACTAGTGGTCTTTAACCTCTGTTTGCAGCATCTGGGAGCTGGGAGCACCCCGAGTCACCACTGAGTACAGGGTGTCCAAAGAGGCTGTTCCAGCAGCTGAGTAGAAAGGGGGTTCTGTCTTTTAAACATGTCCTGGAAGAGAGGGCTTGGGCTTTTCATTTTTCAGTTGTCTAGATGTGATTTTTTTTTCCATTAAACACTGGGAGTCACTCCACCAGCTTCTCACCATCCAGGGGGACTGTTCCCTCCCTTCTGCAGATTTGGGGCAGGGGGTGGGGATTTCCCAGGGAAGGGAGGGTGATGCCAGGAACAGTTTTACTTGTCTGCTTTTAGAGGAAGATTAAAGGTAGGAGTATCTGTGTGTTTCTAACGAGGCTGTTGTCCTTCCAAGATGAGTGAATATCTGACTGATACCTGTGAGTGTCGAACTCGAAGGATGTTCTCGAGGTAGAAGCAGCGCTGATGGCAGGGCCAACACCAGGGTTTGCCACCTTCCTGACCGAGGGCCGCGCACAGGTCCTGTAGGCTCTGCAGAAGGTTCGCTGGCCATTTCTGACACCCAGGGCAGTGAGATGTTGTTCCCCACTTTGTGCCTCCCTGGTGTTTGTTTGTTTGTTTATTTTTGTTTGAGATTTGGCCTGGATGAGCCATGAACAGAAGCTGGGTAGTCCTAATAAACAGAAGCCACAGTACTTTTCCTGAGTAAATTAATTTTGAAAAGTCTGTCAAGACACCATGCCACGATGTTTGGGCTTAGTTGCAACCGACCGAGACCACTTGGGTCTCAGCCTCAGTTCTGGACCCTTTCATTCGCTCCATCACTGTTCACTTCGTAGTGCATAGAGATAGATCCTTGAATAAAAACAATTAGTTAAGCAGATGAAAACAAAAAACAAAGTCAGAGGTGGGGGATTACCATTAACTCGACTATTAATTAGGCATAAGGTTGGGATCCAGTCACCAGAAAACTGTCTGTTCTTTTTATTTCGTTAATTTGTTTTTCACTGTTTTCATAATGACTAGAATGATCACTATGACCATGTAACAATCATAATGAAAGAAATACATTTGTGACTCAACACCCTTTGGTACTTCAGAGACCACATTTTGCTGTGTCATGGGTAAATCTTTTCTAATTCTCCAAGGAGGTAGGGCTGTCTTGTTTGGGCATAATGCTAAATCAGGGTCAAAGTTAGAGTGCCACCATTCATTCTCACTATGCCAAGGCAAGGCTGCAGGGTTTAAATCTTATGCACGTCCTCAGCTATCTCTCCTGAAGATCAAAGGGTATTTGTAAGCCGGGACCAAAGTCCAGCTAGTCTAAGATGGTCAGCAAGTATCTTGGGTCCAGATCTATGCTACACTACCGAAGGTAAATGAGAAAAAGGATTCCTGGCCTCCCAAGAGTTTACAGTCTGGCTAAGGAGGAAAGACAGTGCTATGGCAGTGCTAAGTGGGACTTACAGTTCATAAGTGTGTTTAGAGTTCACCAGCTATTAACTAAATATCTGTTGGTATATGGACCAGTTAAAATATTGAGAGAGGTGGAATAGATGAAATATGAGGTGGACATTAGGTAAGATATCATGAGTGGATGAAGAGCATTCCAGGTCAGGGGGCTGAGAGAGACAGAGATGATCTAACCAAGATGGTGAAAACAGCCAACAGACATCTGTGTTGCGGGATGGGGAGCTTAGTTCCTTCCCTACCACTACCACCAAAAAAAGTATATCAAACCAACCTTTAAAATCAGGAGCCTCCTCACAAAAATCCAGATTTTTTTCTGGATCAACTAGACATCCACACGCAAAAAAAATGAATTTAGAAACAGACCATATACCTTTTACCTTTCATAAAAATAAATTCAAAATGAATCATAGACCTAAATGTAAAATGTGGAACTATAAAATTTCTAGAAGACAACATAGGAGAAAGTCTAGGAGGCCTTGGGTTTGTCAATGTTTAGATACAACACTAAAAGCATAATCCATGAAAGAAAAAATTGTTAAGTTGGACTTCGTGTGGGTTAAAAACTTCTGCTCTGCAAAAGACACTCTTAAGAGACCAAGCCACAGACTAGGAGAAAGTATTTGGCAAAGAAAAAAAATACTATCTTGTAAAGCAGCAGTCCCCGACTTTTTGGCATCGGGGACCAGTGCTCCTGTGAGAATGTAATGCATGATGATCTCAGGTGGAGCTGAGGCAGTGATGCTAGCGCTGGGGAGCGGCTGCAGACACAGATGAAACTTGGCTCACTCGCCAACCGCTCACCTCTTGCTGTGCGGCTCGGTTCTTACTGGTCCGTGGCCTGGGGGTTGGGGACCCCCAGTAAAGGACCAGTATCCGAAATATATAAAGCACTCTTAAAATTCAACAGTAAGTAAACACCTAAATTAAAAACTGGGCAAAAGATCTGGACAGACACCTCACCAAAGAAGACATACAGATGCAAATAAGCATATGAAAAGATGCTCAACATCTTATGTCATTAGGGAATTGCAAATTAAAACAATGAGATATCACAACACACCTGTTAGAATGGCTGAAATCCAAAATAGTGACACCAAGTGCTGGTGAAGATGTAGAATGACAGGAACTCTCATGTATTGGTGGGAATGCAAAATGAGACAGCCACTTTGAAAGATAATTTGGCAGTTCCTTACAAAACTAAACATGAGATTTATCATATGACACAATTCAGCGATCACACTGCTAAGTGTTTACCCAAATGATTTGAAAACTTGTGGTCATACAAAAACCTGCCCACAAATGTTTATAGCAACTTTATTTATAATTGACAAAGCTTAGAAGCAACCAAGATGTCCTTCAGTAGATAAATGGATAAACAAACTGTGGTACATCCAGACAATAGAATATCATTCACAGATAAAAATAAGTGAGCTATCAAGTCATGAAAAGATACAGATGAACCTTAAATACACATTAGTGAGTGAAAATAGCCACTCTAAAAAGATTACAACATGGTAGTATGATACCAACCGTGTGACATTCAAAAAAAGGCAAAGCTACAGAGTTCATAAAAAGATTAGTGGGCAGGAGGGATGAATAGGTGGGACACAGATCATTTTTAGGGCAGTGATACCATTTTGTATGCTACTGTAATAGCAGATGCAAGACATCATGTATTTGTCAAACCCATTGAACACAAAGAGCTAATCCTCACCTTGTAAACTGTGGACTTTAGTTAATAATGTACCAATATTGGTTCATCAGTTGTAACAAATGTACCGCAATAATGAAAGATGTTAATAATGGGTAAACTTAGAGAGTGGAGAGACATGTGGGAACTTTGTCATTATTT